TTTTTTTAAACAGTCCTTAACATTAGAGGTTTTATGAAGTTTTGTCTGAGTGCCCTGGCTGACAACTGAAGCAGCAACTGTTTGTATTTAGGAAAGGGAAGTGCAAGTACTGTATCAGAATTGCTTTTGGCAACTTGATTTTAGTTGAATAGTTTACCAAGTTATGTGTGTATTTTCCCTCCTTGCTGAGAACAGTCTTCTTGAGGTTCTTCCAGAAGGAATTAACGGGTTTTTTTTAGTTAAAGGAAAAATCATAAACATATATTTATTGCTTTTCACGTGGCCCAGTTAATATGGGCACATTTTTTTAAAACCTGTATGTGCTGCATTTTGTGTTCTGTTGAGTCACATTGCACTATAAAAGGAAAACTAGATGGAGAGATGATTAGTATGTATAACAAATAAGCATTATTTTGGTGAAATAGTTGTGCCGTTTTGAAAGCATATTGTGTCAGAGACCTATCTGAACAGCGGTACTAATTATCAGCTCCTCTGCTCTTGGAACTATTGTGTTGGTAGAATTGGATCTTTGGTTGTGTGGCTCACATAGCTACAACTCGACCTTTATGCTTGCAACTTTGCAATACTCTTAGAAGACAATAACATAATACAATTAGAAAAGAAATATCAAAAGTGTTCATATGCATATATGAAAACCAAGGTATTTGCCGTCAAATGGACAACAGTGGTTGTAGTGCAGTACATTTGTTTTATATTTTAAAGCCTCTGTCAGAATTAAGTGTAAAGTAGCTGGTCTCATCCCTGGGGGTTCCCTGCCCTACTCCTCAAAAGAGAAACCATTCTTCCACCACAGAAAGCATGACATAAAGGCATACTATGTAAAATGTAGGAGTCAGCAGACTTCCTAGATGATAAAATTTAGATTTTGTAGGCCAAAAACCAAAACAAAGATACTGTATGACATAGGAAACAATTTTCATACTTTTAATTGGTGAAATTTTAAAATATAACTTTGAACCTTTTTGTGTGTGTGATGCAGTTCTAATGAGAAGAGAAAAGCCTTTTGCTGGGGCCAGTGTTGTCTGTAATGCCAGTGTCCCGTGAGGGTGCCACTTATGATCCAGTTCCCTGTAATGGCCTGGGAAAGAAGTGGAAGATGGCCCAGGTGCTTGGGCCCCTGCACCCACGTGGGGAGACCCAGGAAAAGTTCTTGATTACTGGCTTTAGCCTGCACCAGCCCTGGTGGTTTTGGCCGTTTGGGGGTTGAACCAGCAGTTGAACCAGCAGATGAAAACTCCTTTTCTTTCTCTGTCCCTATTTAACTCTGCTTTTCAAATAAAATACATAAATCTTTAAAAAATTTTAGCCTAATTTTGGTTTAATGTCATTATCAAATCAATTGCAAAGATTCATCAGTTATACTGATTTGTAATGAGAGTTTTACATATTATCTTTGAATGTGACTTGCACTCACGTGAGTTATATGTGGCATAACTGTCAGTATTATTTGTAGCATGCTGAGCAGCTGTGTGAAACTGTGAAACAACCAGAAAAGGTGGTCTCTGTTGCATTTGCTTAATTCTGTTTTTATAACACAAAGCTGTCAAGGATAACACGTAATATTATATCTGTATTCCAATAGAATTTTATTGTGGACACTAAAATTTGACCTTAATGTACTTTTGTGTGTGTCACAATATAGATATATTTGTAAAAGATTTATTTGTTTGAAAGGCAGAGAGAGGGAGATCTTCCCTCAGCTGCATCACTCCCTAGATGGTTTTAACAGCTGGGAGAGGGCCAGGCCAAAGCCAGGAGCTCTATCTGAATCTCCCACATGGGTCCATTAGAGCATCTGATACTTAAACTGACATCCATATGGTATCCCAGTGTTGCAGGCAGCGGCCCTATTTACCATAATGCTGGCCCCACTAAGTGAGGGTTGGCCATGTGGTGTAGTGTGTTAAGCTTAAAGCTTGTTAGAGCTCCTTCGAGCTGTGGGTATGCATACATTTCTCACTTTTCTCCACTGTCATCCTTTAATACCATTTTCCCAAGAATATTTTGAATTACTCTTTCCATCTTTTGGGCTGGTTCTAAGTAACCATGGGGCAGTTGTGTTAGTTAGTTTTCTGTCGCTGTTGAAGGTTTCTGTTACTTTTAAAATGTTAATGCTGCTAATAGGAGGGAACTGAGTTGGAAATGGAGTGACTGGAACTCAAACCAGGTGCCTGTATGGGATGCTGGTACTGCAAGCAGAGGCTTCCTGCTATGCACTAGTGCAAGCCTTACAAAATATGCATTTTTAACGAGGATGCCAGAATGATTTTATTGTGCTGACTCATACCTTGAGAAATGTTATATGTTGGAGCCTGCTCTGAGATAAATACCTATGTCCTATTGAACTGAGAATGGAAAGTAGGACTTTGCTTCTCGCATGGGTAAAATTTTCGTAGGTGTAATGTGAGTGTGCACCAGATAGAGACCAACCAAATACAGTGGGAAGAACAGAGAAACATTTTAGTAGTACCACTAACTGGCTATGCCACAGCAGACAAATGACTTCTCCATGTTGCCATGTTGTTCACCCCTTGCCACCAACCCAAATCTGCAGTGCCCTGCTTTAGAAATGCAGTCTGTCTCAGAGAATGCACAGTTGTGAAGCCAGTGGCACACCAATATGAAGAGGTTTGATGATTAGGAGCTAAGCTCTGAAGTTGCATTGAATGTAAACAGTGTGCCTCTGATGTGATTACATATAACATCAAACACATTCTCTCCTCTTTTTCTCTCTTATCATTGGCTCCTCTTTCCATGAGCTTTTCTATCTCTTCAGGTGTGTTCTGTAAGGTCATTTCTGTCCACTTCTCAAGATTCGACCTCTCTTCCTTGCTTCAGTGTTTCTCACAACACACAGCGCCTTTAATAATAGAGTTACCATGATTAAGGACATTTGAAAGATCGGAAAACAACTGAAAAGTTCCTGAGACTGGAGAGCATTAGGGTAAAGTTGACCAAGAGTGATTGGAAGCTGAGTTTTGGTGTAGGTTCACGGTGTTTTCAGAGCTAGTGTCAAAGCCAAATCCTTCCTAGAGTCGTGAGGTTCTTAGTCTTTGCTGTGGTCATCCTCTGCAATTAACCTGCTGTTACTAGTATTTTCATTTTCTGTTTTTAGGAGAGTCAGGGGCTTTTTTTTTTTTTTGAAAGGCAGGTTCCTCCACAGATTTTTCAATTTGCTGGTCAACTTCCCAAGTGGTCACAATGACTGGAGCTGTGCTGATCTGAAATCAGGAGCCAGGAGCTTCTTCCAAATCTTCCACATGGCCTTAGACTGTCCTCTGGTGCATTCTCAGGCCAAAAGCAGGGAGCAGGATTGGAAGTGGAGTAGCAGGCATGAGCTGGTGCCCAAATGGGATGCTAGCACCACAGATAGAGGATCAGTGCATTGTTGCATCACTGTGCCATCCCCACTTTCATTTCTAAGTTGTTACTATTGTCACTTTCGTATTCACTGTTTATTAGTACTTAATTATTGGTTTATTTATACCTGTCTTTGCTGCTCAGTTCTACTTCTTACACCTCACTCTTGCTTGGTTTAAATTAGTTTCCTTTTGTAGTACTTTTTTTTCTTTACAATTTATTTGAAAGGCAGAGCTACAGTGTGTGTGTGTACTCATCCACTGATTGATTTCCCACTTTGCTGCTGTGGCTGCAGTAGGGTGGGTGCGAAGCCAGGATTTTGTTCTGAGTCTTCCCACATGGACACAGGGGCCCAAGCATTTGGGCCATCTGCTGTTTTTCCATGCCGTTAGTAAGGAGCTGAATTGGAAGTGGAGCAGCCAGGTCTCAAACTAATGCTCATGTGTGATGTCATTGCCATACATGGTAGCTTTCTGTCCCACGTCACAGCACTGACCCCTGTGATACCTTCTTTGAAGTAACTTCTGTGGAATGTGTTTGCTTGATCAATCTTCTAGTCTTTATGAATGAAAGTTTACATTGAATGAAAGTGTTTGCTTGTTAAGATTTATTTATTTGAAAGAGTTTGAGGGAGAGCATAACCGAGCTTCCATACACTGGTTCACTCCATAAATGTCAGCAGTAGTTGGGACTGGGCCAGACTGGAGCCAGGAGCTTCATCTGCATCTCCAACATTGCTGTATCACCCATGTACTTGGGTCTTCTTCAGTTTCCTTCTCAGGCTCATTCACAGAGAGCTGGATTGATTGTGAGCAGCTGGGTCTTAAACAGGCACCCATAGGGGATCCCTATGTAGCAGGTGGTGGTTCACCCTGCTTGGGCACATTGCTTTGCTGGCCCCTACCCTCAGTCTTGAATAACAGTATAGAATTCTAGATTGATAGTTAAAATATCATTGCTACATGAAGCTCATCAGTGTGTTTTGTCCTTTATTATTACTGATGAGAATTAGTTTTTGGTCCTCTTCTGTAAGATTTTTGCACTTTATATTAAGAGTTCTACGTTTTCACCACGATGTGTCTATATTCTGTTTTGTTCTGAAGATTATTTTCTTTCATCAATTCTGGAAAATAATTTCTCTTTGAATATTTTTTTTCTTTCTTGGAATTACGCATATTATCAAAGATAGACACTGAGAGATCTGATGCCCACAAGAACTGGGGCTAGAGCAGGACAAAGCCAGCAACCTGGAGTTCACTCCACATCTCTCCTTAGCAGGCAGAAACCCAAGTGTTTGGGCCATAACTTGCTGTCTCCCAGTGTGCCGATTAGCAGGAAGCTGGAATTAGCTGTGGAGCTGGGATTCAATCCACACGTTCCAATAAGAGATGCTGGCAACCTAATCAGCATTTTAAGTGCTGAGCTAAAGGCCTGCCCATAAAAATTAATAACATTTTTAATTTTCATTTTCTTCTCAATTGTGTCAATGGCTGTTTCTTTTTATTGCTTATTTTTTATATATTTAAGTTAGAAAGTTTAAACACGATTTAAAGTTTAGTTTCTACTCTATTTTCTTCCTAACCTACTTTTCTAAATAAATGCCTTTGTCTTAAATCCAGGTGACAAAACACGACCACCCTCGTCAAGCCCCTCCAGTATTATCCGACGCACTTCCTCCCTGGATACACTTGCTGCTCCATACCTTGCTGGACACTGGCCTCGTGACAGTCACGTGCAAGTCACACCTTGCATGAGGGACAAAGCCACACAGGTAAGTCTGTTACAGTTCTGATCTGTGTTTTATCCTAAAACTGTTTCTCATGATATTTCTTCTACTCTGTGTTCAGATTTTTAGAGCATTGGTATACACTGGAATTTCCCGGGAAGTTATCCAAATGCGGATTCCGTGGATGACACAACAGATTTCCTCCTTCCTTTTTTCCTTTCTCCTTGCCTTACCCCTCCTCTCTCTTCCCTTTTCCTGCCGTCTGCTCTCAGTCTGCTTTTCTTTACAGCCTCCTCTTCTCTCCTGTCTTCCCCTTCCTGTTCTCTCCTCTCCCCCTTTTTTCTTTTCTACTTCCCCTTCCCTCTCCTTTCCATCCATCCATCCATCTATATCCATCTGTAAGTCAGTTACAGAGAGAGAGGGCAGGGGAGGATGAAGAGACAGATCGTTCATCCACTGGTTTCACTCCCTAGATGGCTGCAGTGGCCAGGGCTGGGCCAGACTGAAGACAGGATCTCCCATGTGTGTAGCATGGACCCGGGTGCTTGGACCATGTTCCATTAGGTTCCCAGGATGTTTGATGAAAAGTAATCAAGGTATAACGAACCAACACCTGTATGGGATGCTGGTATTGCAGGCTTTCCCACTATGCCACAACGCTGGCCTCATTACCTTAAGATATTCTAAAATAGATCTCAGCTGGAGAATGGGAATGTGCATTTTAAACTATTCCCAAAGTAGTTTTGATACATACAGAGATAATTTATGAGTCTGATTTTCCCCCGCTGTTCTCTATCAGTTTTAAACATCACAATGTACTTAACATCCAGAATTTTTTTGAAAGATTGTTATTTTTATTTGAAAGGCAGAATTACAGAGAAAGAGATTTTGCATCTGCTGAGTCACTCACCACATGGCTAAAATAGCTGGGTTTGAGCTAGTTTCCTATATTGTTATCAGACAACTGCTAATGATTGGAAATGGAGCAGCACGGTCTTGAACTGGCACCCATGTGAGATGCTGGAGCTACAGGCAGAGGCTTATAACCTGCTCTGCTGTGGCACCGGCCCCAACATGCAGAATTTGAACTTTAGATTTCTAATAATAAGGACTACTTACCATTCAACCTTACAGAAGTCTTGGGAGGTGGGGAGTATATTAAACTGCTAAGAGGTTCTATCAATATCCTGGAAAAGGATCCCAAGAAGCAAGATTTTATAATTTTAGCATTTTTTAATTAAACAATGTTTGAAATCATTCAGATCTCATTCCTGGTTTCACAGGCAAGGAAGCTGAGGTCTGCGTTAGTACTACCAGTGGAAGACAAATGTTAGCTTGTTGTAGTTTTTTTAAGAGTATTTGCCACAACAGTTGGAATGAATTATTAATATAATTGTGTTTTATACTAACTAGATAATGAACCCTATAAAAGAAATTGTGACTGGCTTGTCTGTTGTTGTGTTTCCATTTCAAGAGTTGGTACTATACCTGATGGAATAAGTGCTCAAGGAATATTTGCAAAGGAATAAATGAATATTTATTGTCTCTGTTGCTATTGAAGAATGAAAAGCACTTACAGATTTAGAAGATTCTTGATTGTTGGAAATCAGCTAGGGTGCTGCTTGGTTTATATTTCAAATGTACAAATCTATATATACAATGCCTACTTTTTTTTCCCCCCACCAAAGTAGAAACCTTTTATTTCCTTTTTTGAGAACTTTTGGAAATGTTCTTGGGCTGGTGGATTCTTAGCCCAGAAGGTTTTGAAAGAATGTCTTTATTTGGGGCTTAGTAAATACAGTTTAGGGTGGTTTTGAATTTTCATGTTGGTTTCCAAAATTCCAGGTGTTCTTGGTGATCTTAACTTATTTTTTGACTGATAGTCTTGAAACCAAGTCCTTCGGTTAAGACCAATGTGTGGGATTTGAGATTAATTTGTGGTCTATACTTCACTGGCAAATACTTAAATGTAAGTGTGTAGACTTATCAGAGATAATGGATCTTTCCTCAAAGTTCAACTTTTTAAACCAGAATTCTGCAAAACTGTTTAGTAATTCAAGCTCTGCAATTACTGAAAATCTGTAGTGTTGCTCTCCTTACTGTAAGAGTGTGGAAATGAATTTAATCTCTTTTTGTTTTCTGTTTAATCCACATCGCACTTTTAAATTTGTATGCAGTTTTTCCTTGAATATTTGTGCAATGCTCTTTAATTTTCCCCTGCAATTTCAGACTCAGTGGGCTCAGATCTTTGTCATGTTAAGAGGAATATACTATCATGCAATCCAGTGGGAGCCCTTTAAGCTGTGGGAACAGTTCAATAAATAAGCCTTTTTTAAGCAAGTTGCTTGGACTTAGTTCTGACTCTATTGATAAAATATAAATCCCATGCTCTTCACCTTTTTCTAAATGTCTTCCAGTTTGGTAATGGGAAAACATACCAAGAGCACGTTGTTGATCTATCTTGTAAAGACCATGTGTTGAATCTCTGAAGAACAGTGCAGTGGTAGCTGGGCATTCTAGTCTTTCAATTATTGTGCTGGCTTCCTTCTTTATTAACTGAATTTGTCATAAGCATGATTAGTCAAAAATCCAAATTTCTTACTGGCTGATGTTGGGTTTCCCTACCCAGTGTCAATGTATACTAGTCAAGTCTCTTTAAAAATTATGGTAAACTATGTATAACTCAAATTTGTCATTTTGACCATTTAAAAACACACAATTTAGTTGCATTATGTTAGTACTATTATGCAACCATTGATACTATTTCTAAATCTTCATTCTCTAAAATGAGTAGAAACCCAACTCCACCTATTTTCCCTCTCCCCTATATCTGTTCTACTTCCTGTTTTCATGAATTTTTCTGGCGTAGGTATTTGATGTAAGTGGAATCATGTAATTTATGTGTTCCTGTGCTTTAGCGTAATGTTTTCAAAGTTCATCTGCCATAACTTTATTTTTTAATGGCTGAATAATATTCCACTGTATGGACATGCCTGCTTTTATTTGCCCATTGATTTACTGCTTCTACCCTCCTGGCTGTTTTGTGAACAGTGCTGCAGGTATCCGTACGAATCACTGTGCTCTGTTCCTTGTGACACATTTGGAGTAAGATTGCTGGGTCCTTTAGCATTTAGACTAAAGAAGCTGTCACAGTTATATCCTCATCAGCAGCTTGAAGTTTCATGCTGACCCTTGTTACTTTTTTATTTTTTTCATTATTTAGAGAATACTTTATTAGTTCTGTAATCAAACCCATGTAGATAAGACCTTACATATTTAATACATTGTGTTACCTCTGTACAAATGGAAAAAAAATTAAGTTTAACATTTCTAGACCAATATGACTGTTAATTTCTGTACAATGCCAACTCAACATGGTAAACTTGGATACTTTTCTCAAAGTTGACATCACAGCTAGTTTCCAAAAATTCAATTATATGTATGTATATATATATATAAAAAGATCAGTAATAGCAGTATGTTATGTATCAATGTCAGCAACAGCTTTTCCAGGTTCTGCAGTCGTCTGAACAAAATAACACTCCATTAACAAAAACAAAACACCCCAAAACAACAAAGTTCTGTTATGGTTGTGGTACCTGGCACCATTTTTTTAAAATTAGTTTCTCAGTCATCATCTGGAAAGCATACACTCTAGAGTAGCATCATTAAAGAGTTCTGATAGAGCACAGTCACTACTACATGTCATAAAGCAAGTACAAGTTATCTTACATTCACAGAGGCGTGGTACAGTACTGTCCTACAGCTATACTACTAGAGGGAACAATTCAGAGGCGTTGTTTGAGACTTGATTCTGCTTTTCCAGCAGAGGGCCCAAAGAATGGTATGACACAGCTTAGTAAAGAAATGCACCGTCTTTGCCGAGATGTCCTTTCATTAGTGACACAGTTCTAGGTACTCACTGTTTTTCATGAATTACCTGGTTTCTCTTCAGATAATATAAATCTTTCACATTTTGCCTTTTTAATTTTTAAAAAATGTTTACCTTGCTCATTTGAAAGAGTGATACAGAGAGACAGAATGAAATCTTCCATCTGCTGGTCTACTGCCCAAATGACTGCAGTGGCCAGGTCTGGGTCAGCCCAAAGCCAGCAGTCAGAAACTTTGTCCAAGTTTCCCATGTGGATGGCAGGAGCCCAGCTATTCAGGACATCGTCCACTGCTTTCCTAAGTGCACTAGCAGGTGGCAACCCTGCTGTTCTATAACATGGACGCCTTTTTTTTTTTTTTTTTTTGGTAATCATCTTGGTAGATATGCAGTAGTAGATGGTTGTGATTTGATTTGTGTTTCCCTACCTAATGCTGTTGAGCTTATGGTGTGCTTGTTTGTGATCTTTAGACTCCAGGTACTTGAAGATATGTGTACTCTGCTATTTAAAAGTATGAGGAGCTAATAGTACCTATTCTTTAAAGAGTTTTTAGACAACTGAATAAGGAGATATACAAGAAGCCGGGTATGGTACATGATGGTATTTTAAAAATGCGTGTTATTTTTAAAATTACCTTAAATAATTGTCAGAAAAAGAATGAGAGGTGGGTTCAGTTTCCTGTGTAATTTAATCAATAGCTGTTAATTTCCTGGAATATTGTGCTTAAGAACATTCAGGAAAAAGGATTACTGAGACTGATGAGCAGTTTCTGGCCCTAGGGTGTGGCCTGGAACCTGTCCAGGCAGTCCAGCCATACAAAAATACAGAAACCTTGTCCTGTTTTACAGATGTTGCTTCTAAAACGTTGCTGTAGGCCTTTGACAAGTTACATCTTGTCTCCACTCTGAGCCCTGGTATCTTCATTTTGAAACAATTATGTATCACTCCCTTTGCCAGCTCCTGGGGGGATGTATGGGAATAGGAGGAGGAGGATTCGGAAAGCACAAGGGCAACATCAAAAATGCTAGGAATATAAAAAAAAGTTAGGAATATGGGAATACGTTTTTAGAGATACTAATCTTATCCCCTGTCCTGTCTCATACCTCCCCATTTACTTTGGCTGTAAGAATGAGTGAATAAAATCCCAGAACCTAT